CCCCCCCTTCCTGATGTCAAATAAAAGACACGTATTTTCAAAAATAACAACTCTCTTTATTCAACACAACTGGGGAGGGGGAATAAAACTGTGGGGAGACGGGGGAAAGGATGCAGGAGAGGGCAGGAGAGAGGGTGGGAGAGGGGAGGGGGAAAACTGGGAGGAGGGAGTTGGAAAGGGGAAGCAAGGGGAAGAAGGGAGAGGGGAAACTCAGCACTCAGGGCTGGGGGTCTCGCCGGGCCAACTGCCTCCCAGCACGGCGAGGGAAGGGGCCTTGGCGTCCCTGGAGGGAGGGGGAGGAGGGTGTGGAGGTTAATGTTGGGGGTGTGGAGATGAGGAGGAAAGAAGTAGAAGGGGGTGGGGGGGGGGCAGCAGGCGCAGGACTGGCACAGGGCACCATGCTCTGCAGCAAGGCCTGCAGGTGACAGTTCCTCGTGCAGTCCCCCGTAAGCTGCTCCCGGCGGAGCTGCAGGTCTTCCCACAGCCAGGCCTCCACGGAGCAGTGCAGGGCTCGCAGGGCCCCCAGGAGAGGAGAGGAGTTTTTCTGGTTAGGCCCAGACTGGCCACCAGGGGGAACTGGGAGGGCTGGAGGCCCCTTAATTGGAAATAAGTGTCTACACAGCACTTATTTCTAATTAGCTGGTTCGAATTAGGTGCTATTCCTCATAGAATGAGGTTTACCGAATTGGAAATAAGGGCTCTGCTATTTCGAATGTATTTCGAAATAGTGGTTTGTATGTGTAGACAGCTATTAAAGTTAATTCGAAATAACGTCTGTAGTGTAGACATACCCGTGGGGAGTGACAGACTGCATGGAGCCCCACCTTTATGCTGTCTTGAAAGGGGCCTTTAAATTCACTAATAGTTTTGGAAAGCCCTGGTCTCTGTGCTGTCTGTCTGTCTGTCTATCAATTGCAGGCTCTCTGCAGCTGAGACCTTTCAAGTCTCTGCTGAAGCACTAGTCTAGAGAGGAGGCCTAGTTGTTTCTTCCATCTGTGGAGCTGTCTCTCTGCTGGTTCCAAGGTCTGGGAGCTGAGATAGCTGCGGGGTCTCCGCCTCAGGGGGAACTCGCTCTGCGGATGCTCTTGCTTCTTGTACCAATTGTGTTTGCAGTTCTGGTTGAGAAGGGGGAGGGTTCCTCTTTTTCACATCCCATTTTGCAGTGTTCACAACCCACCTCCCCTTCACCTGCCCATGGGGAGACTTCCCCTGTTCCTGCTCTTGCGGCCGGTCTGGGTTGGTCTCCAATGAAAGCTCCGGAGCCATTTCTCCATCATAAGAAAACTGACCCTCTTACATGGGGCCTCATTCCAAGACCAGTGAGGTCAGTGGAGTTTTTCCATTGGCACGGAGGGGCTTTGGATCAGGCCCTGTCCAGGCTACGTTGTCTGAGCCAACAGCAGGGCCCAGCTCTCTCCCCAGGGTGCCAGCAGCTCAGCCTGAGCATCAGCCCCCAAGTCACTCTGGGTGCTTCAGTGCTGTGAGCTTTAAAAAAAAGGGACTATTAAAAAAATTGTCAAACGTTTTCATTTGCTCAAAGTTTCTATTTGTTTTTCCAGAGGAAAAAAAATAAAATTGTTTTTGGGGACAGGGGTTGTAAAAATCAAATTGGAAAATTAAAAAACCCGAACATTTTCATTTAAACAAACAACTTTTCAGAGATTTGTTTAAAAAAAAAATCAGGTGTGGGATTCCCCTTCTCTCCTGTTAACAATTTCCTACCAAGAGATGGGAAAAAATGGGGAGGAATATTTTTCACAAAAGGATTTGAAACAGGGATTTCAGCGATATTACAGACCATATTCGCCCTTTTTCACCTGCTGTCTTTTAGGCTCTGCTTATAATAGGTCGTGTCACACACAGCTCCTCTTACGTGAGCCTCTGAGCTCTGCCGGCCCCCCGCGCCCCGTCTACCTGCTCTGTAAATGTTGTCTCCAGCCCAGGGGTGCAATGCGCCCAGCCTCCATCCCAGGACAATCTGCTTCTGCATCAATGACGCTAATAAACTTGCTCTGCAAAATTGCTCTGCGTGTGCTCCTGACACATTTCCCTTTGAGGCCCTCTGCTGCTTGGCTTCCCCCAGAGGCGTTAATGCCTGTTCACAAGACTCCCTCTCGTTCCTCTGGCCTTTTGCCCTGGTTCCCCCACTGGCTTTAATCCCCCTGATTCCAGCTCCCACCAGCTCAGAGGTCACTTCTGGATGCTCTTTCCCAGCTCCCTTGTGTCCTTCCCCATCTGGCGGGCCCTGGGGACAGCAGCCTCCTCAGGAGCCCAGCACAGGAAGTGGGGCAGTCAGGGCAGAGAAGATGAAGCAGAGAAACCAGAAAAGTCCGGTGGTTGCTGATGTTTGGGAGTGAAATTCACCTCACTGCGGGGGGTCCCCCATGAGTCTCAGGCCTCATCTATGCCTCAAATCCAGAGCCAGCCCTACTCACCAGGGACTGGAGACATAGGCTATGTCTACACTGAAGCCTTTTGTACAAAAGGTCTTGCGCAAGAGCACATCCACCTTGCCATGCGCTTTTCCGCAAGAGATGTGCTTTTGCACAAAAGTGCCCATGGCAGGGTGCACGCCCTCTTGCAAAGGAAAGCTCTGGTGGCCATCCTAGCCATAGGAGTTCCTTGTGCAAGAAACCCCTGCAGCCTGTCCACACTGCCTTCTTGCACGAGAGGGATTTTTCCTCATATGGGGCGTCAGAGGTCTTGTGCAAGGAGCCCTGTTTTCTGACACTGTACTGTAAGTTTAGTTGCGCAAGAACGCGTGTGCAGTGTAGACGCTCCACACATTTTTGCACAAGAACGACTGGTTTTGCGCAGAAAGTCTGCAGTGTAGACATAGCCATAAGGTTTGGGATCCTCCAACTTCCCAGGCCCCCCAGTCACCCAGCGACCTTTCCCCCTGGCCCAGCTGTGCCCTTAGCCAGAGGGCTGCCGTGGGCCCAGGCAGTGAGACGAGACCAGACATTTCCTCAGTGATCCGTTCAGACACAAACAAGCAAACCAGGCCCCTTCGGTTCTCAGTCCTGCAGCCCGAAATAGAGACGCTGTGGCCAGTGTGGGGAAGGGGAGCCGAGCGGGGCAGGAAATGGGAGCCGTGACGAATATCAGACCTGAGAAAGGAGCAGAGCAGGTCAAGAGAGGTTGCAGCTTCTCTGCAGAGCCCAGGGGGCCTGGGAGCAGGAAGAGGAGCCGCTGGAGCCTCCGACTCTGGGGAGCAGGCGGGATCGGTGCAGAGGATGGCCAGGGCAGAGGGGCTGGGTGGGATCTGGGTGCCACTGTGGATTGGGCCCTGCTGACCCCATCCGGAGGGGACACTGTGGAGCTGTTTCCATCCTGATTGGTTCCTCCCACCACGCCAATGCTCCTGTCTCTGTGCCTCCTGCTTCCTGGTGAGTGTGCGGGAATCCTGGGCTAATGTGCTGGGGTTGGGGGGACACAGAACCGAGAGCAGCCCCTGGCCCAGGGAGTTGGCAAATCCCCTCTAGCAGCAGAGGGAGCCGCGCTGTTGGAGGAGTGAGACTGTCCCAACCCAGGCCAGGACCAGCACTCGGGACTGGGCTAAGATGGTACCAGCAGTCGGCCCAGGCTGGGGTGACAGTCCCGGCTTCACTGAGTTTCAGGCCAGGAGGGACCATTGGCCCATACAGTGAGACCCCCTGACAGCCCAGAGCAGAGACCTTCCCCCAGCTCCCTGCACCGAGCCCGGTCACTTGTAGGGTTCCCAGGTGTCCAGTTTTGAACCAGATAGTCCAGCATTTGAGCTTTCTGTTCGGGACACAAATGGAGAAAATAGAACTGGCCGGTGTTTTCTCAATCAGATGTGATGTAGATTGTGATGTAATGTCAAGTGTGTCTGGTATGTTTGTTGAATCCATCTGGCAACCCTAGGTGCAGGATCCAGTATCACCCCCTGCACCTGCTCCCTGCCCCCTCGTTACACAGCCCAGGGGCCCATCAGTCCGACTGCCCCGCGGTGCCCTGGGAGCTCATGGCCAGTTACTGTCCCTGGGGCCCTAAATCCTTCCCCGGGTCCCTGCTTCCCCACCCAGGCCCCAGGCTGCAGGGCGGCAGCGTTCCCTGTGAGGAGCTGGGACCTGGCACTTGATTGGATCCCACCCCTGCGGTGTCCCTGGGCCCAGCTCCCCACGCCAGGCCCTTGGGGTCAGCCTGGAGGCAGAGAGCAGAGAGGCCGTTGCCACTGGAGGGTGGGGGGTGTTCGGGGTCCAGTCCCAGGGCTTCCTGTTACCGATGGGCCAGAGACACTGAGCCAGGCTGGGCTCCAGTCTGGATTCCTCCAGAATTCAGGGGGTCTGGCTGGAGCTCAAGGTCAGACTCATTATCGGGCTGGGCCCAAATATTACAGCTTGGATCCCTGCCCAGAGCTGGTTTATTTTAGTTTTGATTTTATTTGGGGGGAGGCGGAGAATGGGACTGAGAACTGGGCCTCTGTTCCAGGCTTGTCGTGTCCCTCTGCCTGTCCGTAGCGCGTTCCCTGCTGCAGGCTGCGCTGGGGCGGTGAGGGGCTGAGCTCGGCTGACAGGGCCAGGGATGAACGTAGCTACTGCTGGGCTGTGAGCAGAGCCCTGGGCAGAGATGCTCAGGGCTGATCCCCTGGGCCATGGGAACCCTCCAAGCTGCCCTCATGGGAGTCACTGGCCCAGAAGGTACCTGGGAGTCAGGGCTCTGCACAGAGCCTGGCCCAGCCACACAGAGCAGGCAGGGTGCCCTGGTGGGATGGGCGGGGCTGGAACCGGACCCCAGACTCCTCTGTGTTGAAGAGGGAGGGGCCCTGGCTCTCAGGTGCCAGGTGTGAATCTCATTTAGTGCAGGAGGCGTGTGACACTCAGACCCACCCATCCCTACAGGGGGCGCTGTCCCCTTAGTAGCGGGATCCTGGGGGAGCAGGGCCCCCATCAGCTGCTCAGGGCGTCTCACCGCAGGGGAGATTCCAGCCGGCACTGACCCCACGTCCCCTTTCTGTTCCCAGCGCTGAGCCCCAGCAGCCAGGAGATCTGCTCAGCTCCCGGTGAGTCCGTCTGTCTGTCTGTCTGTAGCTAGCCCGCCGAGGGTCTTTACCCTTCAGGCTGCTCCTCAGTGTGGTGCCTGCAAGTTCTGAGCTGGGTCCCATCGCTCTGCTGGTTGCCGGGATTAGCGGATCAGCACCCAGTTGCTACTCCAGGACCTTCCCAGAGTCTGGGCCTGGAACTGCCCCCAGAGCCCCTGAAGCAGCTGGGAGGTGAGAGCGGCACAGCAGAGGGAGGATGCTAGAGCAGATGCCGGAGCTCAGGGCTCTGGTACAGATGCAGCTCCTTGGCTGTCAGCTGGTGAGCTCCACAGAGCAGTGACTGGCCTTCATCACAGGGGCTGCAGGGGCTGGCTGAGCTGTTGTCCAGACCCTAGACAGCCCCCGTCAGTCATTGCTGGCACTCACTGTCCCAGGTGGGTCAGTGGGTGCCCACACCAGGGCTACATGTCGTAGGTCACTGCGCAGCGCCAGGCAAGGGGAGCCCAGCCCACCCAGCCCCTGGGCTCTTCTGCAGCCCCAGTGACCCTAGGGAATGAAGCCCCCAGGCCCTGAGAGAGCTCGCACCCCGTCTGCCTAGCTGGGCTGGGATCAGAGCCTCCATCAGAGACACGGCCCAGGCCCCTGCCATTTACCTCCTGCCCCACTGACAGCACCAGGCACCAGCAACACCCCACTGAGAGCTCTGACCCCTTCCCCTTCCCAGGAACTCTCCGTGCCCCCATCCTCTACCTGAGCCAGACGTCAGCCCGGCTGGAGGACTCCGTGCAGCTCAAGTGCTCCGTGTTCTCCCAGAACCTGGCCGCCCGCGTCATCTTCTGCAAGGACGGGGAGGAAGTTTCATCCCAGACAGTCTCTGTGGGGAAATTCATCTACGACTTTAACCACGTGATGTCCAGGAGCAGCTCTGGGAACTACTCCTGCGGGTACGAGATCAAGGACAGTGAAAACCAGGTGACCAGATCCCAGCTCAGCCCTGCCCAACCCCTCAGCATCTCTGGTAAGGGGTGGTGTGTGTGGGTGTGTGTGGGTGTGTGTGTGTGTGTGATCCTATCAGCTCAGCTCTTCACCTGGGCTTAAGCAGGAGATTTTACATGATCCACAAATCAAAAAGGAGTCGTATAAAAAGTGGAAACTAGGTCAGATTACAAGGGATGAATATAAACAAATAATGCAAGTATGTAGGGGCAAGATTAGAAAGGAAAAGGCACAAAATGAGCTCAAACTAGCTAGAGACATAAAGGGTAACAAAAAACAGTCACACATTGATGAGAAGCACAAGGAAGACCAATGGACAGGGTAGACCCATTGCTCAGGGAAGAGGGGAAAACAATAACAGAAAATGTGGAAAGGGCAGAGATGCTTAACGACTTCTTTGTTTCAGTTTTCACCAAGAAGACTGATGGTGACCGGATGCCTAACATGGTGAATGCTAGTGGGAATGGGGTAACTTTTAGAAGTTAAAATAGGAAAAGAACAAGTTAAAAATTACTTAGAGACATTAGGTGTCTTCAAGTCACCAGAAACGCATTCTAGAGCAGTGTTTCTCAACCGGTGGAACGAGTACCCTTAGGGGAGTATGTCAACACAACTGACATTTGGAGAAAAAAGAAGTTTTGTTTTAAGTTTTTAGAGCGCTTTATTATTTTTGTACTTTTTACTTCCAAATATTTAATGGCCCACCCAACTACGATTAAGTTTTTTAAACAAACCTGTTGTAATGGTAGAAAAAAATTGTGTGTGTCTGAAAACTGTAGGTACTGGGGGTACTTATAATTTTTTTCTTTGAAAAAGGGGTACTTTTTAAAGAAAGGTTGAGAAACACTGTCCTAGAACACTCAGGGAGCTGCAGAGGAGATGTTTGAGCCGTTAGTTATCATTTTGGAAAAGTCATGGAAGTTGGGAGAAATTCCAGAAGACTGGAAAAGGGCAAATCTAGTGCCCATCTATAAAAAGGGAAATAAGAAGAACCCAGGAAACTACAGACCGGTCAGTTTAATTTCTGTGACAGGAAAGATAATGGAGCAAATAAGGAAGTCATCTGCAAACATCTGGGCTGTGTCTAGATTGGCAAGTTTTTCTGGAAAAGCAGCCGCTTTTGCTGAAAAACTTGCCAGCTGTCTACACTGGCCGCTTGAATTTGTGCAAGAACACTGATGATCTAATGTACGATTGTCAGTGTTCTTCTGCAAATACTATGCTGCTCCCGTGAAGGCAAAAGCCCTTTTCTGGAAATGCTTTTGCGAAAAAAGGGCCAGTGTAGACAGCTGAAAACTGTTTTGCACAAAAAAGCCCCGATGGCGAAAATGACAATTGGGGCTTTCTTGCGCAAAACCGCGTCTAGATTGGCATAGATGCTTTTCCACAAAAAAGGCTTTTGCGGAAAAGCGTCCGTGCCAATCTAGACGCTCTTTTCCGCAAATGCTTTTAACGGAAAAGTTTTTCCGTTAAAAGCATGTGCGGAAAATCATGCCACTCTAGACGTAGCCCTGGAAGGTAATAATCATAGACTCATAATAGACTTTAAGGTCAGAAGGGACCATTATGATCATCTAGTCTGACCCCCTGCACAGTGCAGGCCACAGAATCTCACCCACCCCTCTTAGAATAATCCTCTCCCCTATATCTCAGATATTGAAACCTTCAAATACTCTGAAGGCCCCAAGATGCTCATGCTGGAAGGGCATAGCAAGTGAGGTTCCGTAGGGGTCTGTTTTGGGTCCAGTTCTGTTCAGTATCTTCATCAACAATTTAGATGATGGCACAGAGAGTACCATTATGATGTTTGCAAATGATACCAAGCTGGGAAGGGTGGCAAGTGCTTTGGCGGATCGGGTTATAATTCAAAATGATTTGGACAAACTGGAGAAATGGTCTGAAGTAAACAAGACAAAGTTTAAAAAGGACAAATGCAAAGTGTATTCCCACTTAGGAAGGAACAATCTGTTCCACACACACAGAATAGGAAGCGACTGTCTAGGAAGGAGTCCTGTAGAAAGGGATCTAGGGGTCATCATGGATCACAATCTAAACATGAGTCAATAATGTGACACTGTTGCAAAAAAAAAAAAAAAAAGCACACGTGATTCTGGCCTGCATTCACAGGAGTGTTGTGAACAAGACATGCATGAGAAGTCATTCTTCCGCTCTACTCTGTGCTCATTAGCCTCAGATGGAGGATTGTGTTCAGTTCTGGGCACCTCATTTAAAGAAAGTTGTGGAGAAATTGGAGAAGGTCCAGAGAAGGGCAACAAAAATGGTTAAAGGCCTAGAAAACATGAGCTATGAGGGAAGATGAAAGAATTGGGCTTGTTTAGTTTGGAAAGGACTGAGAGGGGACATGATAGCAATTTTCAAGTACCTAAAAGGGTGTTACAAGGGGGGAGAAAAATTGTTTTCCTTGGCCTCTGATGGCAGGACAAGAAGCAATGGGCTTAAACTGCAGTAAGGGAGGTTTAGGTTGGACATTAGGAAAAACTTCCTTAATGTCAGGGGGTGCATCTACATTTCAGGGCTTAACTTGAAATAAGCTATGCAAATTGAGCTACATCAGTTGCATCTCTTATTTTGAAATAGAGCACTTTCCTCCAACTTCCCTTGTTCCTCGTACAATGAGGGTTGCAGGAGTCGGAGTAAGAAGTCCTGCAGCTTGACAGTATTTTGACACTATTTTGGAATAACTGCCTGCCGTGTAGCCATGGACTAAGTTATTTTGGAATAGCGCTAGTTATTTCCAAATAGTGTTGCAGGGTAGACATACCAGGGTGGTTAAACACTGGAATAAGTTGCCTAGGGAGGTTGTGGAATCTCCGTCATTAGAGATATTCAAGAGCAGGTTGGATAGACATCTGTCGGGGATGGTCTAGACCATGGCTTCCCAAACTAGGGTGTGTGAAGAAATTCCAGGGGTGGTGCAAAGCGTCCTGGCCCCCCTCCTCCACCATTATGTTTTGCTGCTATTTTGGAGGGGGGGGGGGCGTGAGGGTTTTTCAAAAATCAACAAGGGGAATATGATGCTGAGAAGTTTGGGTACCACTGGTGCAGATGGTGCTTAGTCCTACCGTGAGGGCAGGGGACTGGACTTAATGATCTCCCAAGGTCCTTTCCAATTCTAGTGTTCTTTGATTCTATGTTTCTGTAAGGTGATAGGTTACAGCCAGCATGGATTTGTAAAGAACGAGTCCTGTCCAACCAATCCAATCACTTTCTTTGACAGGATAACAAGTCTTGTGGGTAAGGGAGAAGCGGTGGACGTGGTAAACCTAGACATTAGTAAAGCATTTCATACAGTCTCACATGACCTTCTTATCAATACACTGAGGAAAATCTAAAATATTTCAGGAAAGCAGAGTAAAGATGAAGATATTGACCAGAACCAGACCCAAAACAGACCCCTGCGGAGCCCCACTTGTTAAGCTTCCTACTTCCAGGAGAAAAGTAAATACAACAAATCATTTAGTCAAAATCTAGTTTTCTATCGAAAAGTCTTGATTTAAAATCCCCAGCTGGCCATGTTGCATGTGTCCCTTTCACCTGGTCCCTTGCCAGACAGGCTGTAGCCCGGCCAGCAGGTAGCAACTCAGTGCAGGGATCCCTGGGGGAGGCTCTGGCCTGGGCTGAGCAGATGCTCTGACTAGATGGGCCCGTTGGTGCCTTCTGGCCTTTGAATGTATGAGCACGAACATAAACTGCCCTGAACCCTCGTGAGAGCAGAGTAAGTGGAGAGAGAATGAGGCAGGTTAACGTGTGAGGCCAAAAATAACATTGTGTGTGCGGGTTAGTCAATCCCACATCACAGGGTGTGACACCCCCCACCCCGCTGGACTGCTCGCTCAGGGTCAGGCTGGGCAGAGCTCACTGCTGGGGGGGAGGGGAAAGTGTCTGCACAGGGGACTCTGCAGATGCTCAAGGTGCTGCCGGCTCGTCCTGCGGTTCCCTGCAGCGAGATGCTCTCCCCAGTGGGTCTGGCCCAGGGAAGCCCCAGAGACGCGGCACCCCAGAGCGGGTCTGGGCCGGACCTGCCGGACGGGGGTTGTTGTCTCTGCTCCCAAGGCAGCGCCAGCTGTTGCTGTCCCCATGCCGGCCGCCAAGTGACTCTTCCCATCCCCCAGCAGGAACAGCCCCCGAGCACCCGGATTTCACCCACGGGAACATCGCCCGTCTGGAACTGGCCGTCGTGGTCCTGCTTGTCCTGGGGCTGATCCTGGCTGAGGACTATTACAGCCACCCAAGGGGGGGTGCCGTAGGTGAGGTGCCCCCCCCACTTCTGTGCCTCTTGCTGCCCCCCAGGGTAACATGGATCCCACTAACTCACCATCCCTCTGTGCCCCCAGGAGCCTGGATCCAGCCGTGCAGAGAAGAGAATCTCTCCAGTGGACAAGACACTGCTGGCACAAAGCCCCTCTGCCCCCAAAGCCCCCTGTCCTGGAGAGCCCCACCCCCGCCACTGCCGACCTCACAGACACACCCCAGGATTGAAGCTCTGCTCCCTGCTGGGTGCATTGGGTTCCCCCGCGATCCGTCCCTGGAAGTTGCTGGCATCTTACTCCCTGGCCCAGTTGGGCCGGTCTCTGCCCCGGATGGACTGAGGGTTTTGGCTCCAAGTAACCTGCCCATCCACAGGAGCTTCCTTTGGCTGCAGTGCCCAGCCAATCAGAACAGAGGGAGTGGGGCTGGGAGGGGGGCAAAGCAGGTCACCCTACCTCGCATTTTCCCAAACAGCGGCTAGGTAGTTAAATCCCCCAGTACCATCAGGGACCATCGCCCAGCCCCCAGCTGGGTCCTCATCCCACAGGATCCCAGCCCCCTTGTATCCTGGGAACTGTACGATTGTGCCCATGTCTGTTGGCTGTAGCCATATTGCAAGGCCTAAAGCCTACGGCCTTCGTCTGCAGCCTGATTGAAAGAGCAACACCTTCCCCCCCCTTTCTCCCATATCCCCGGGCTCCACTTGTCTTTATGGTTTGGGTCTGTCTCTTTGATTAGTTCTGACTGTTCTGCAATCGCTGTCGCTAGGTGTGAATTAAGGAAGGGGGGGTAGATTTGGTTAGAGAATCTTGTCAGAATTGGTTGGTAAATTCGTGGTATAAGGGTTGGTGAAGGTGGAGCCGAGAGGGGCTCACGCCAACCTCAGGGCTCCACACTCTGCCAGTCACTCTGCAGAAACGAGTCCCCCAGGTGGACCTGGTCCTGACTGGGAGGAGGCGGGCGTGGCAACCCTCCGGCCAGGGCCTGCGTCGCCCTAAGTCATTTGGGGGTCAAACTGGCTGGTTGAAGGAGCGGCTGAGGACAATGTACCACACCGCAGTCTGGTTCCACCTGCCTGACCTTCTCGCCCCGACTGCCCCCTCTCTGCTGGGCACGGTGCCGTATCACCTCAGAGCGTGGGAGTGGATACCCCAGTGGGGAGGGGATATTCCATCCCGTTCGATGCCCTCCTACCCTTCTACCCTCCCAGGAATGACTCCTTCTCCAGGAGGTGCAGTCGCTCCTGTCTCTAGGGACAGAGGAGAAACTCCCCAGGAGTAATGGGGTGAGGGATTTATTCACCGTCTTTCCGAATTGCGAAAGCCAAAGGCGGCCTCAGGCCCTTCTTCGACCTGTGAGAACTCAACAAGTTCCAGCTCTTACCGTGTAGGAGGACTTCTTGAACAGACGGACAAACGCTCTCCAATCTATCGTAGATTCTCTTGTTTCTCTCTCTCTCTGTATGTGTGTGTGTGTCTTTGTGTGTGTGTGTGGTAGGCCTTGTTAAACAGAAATATACAGCAATTATGTAGCCTAAGCTGGCCTCCACCTTTGTACTAGTCCTGTTCCCTTGTGCTAAGTATCCCAGCGCATCTTACATTTGCTGAAACAGGCTCTGGCTTTGAAATAGAAAAACTGTCAGGACCAGGTCAGGTGAGTGTTTTATCACAGCAACAGCTAGGGGGTGGTCAATTCGGGAATGACAAAGGAAGAGGGCAGGACTGTTGTTCTGATTGTTCCAGTCTGATACAGACCTAGGAGGTATTGTCAGAGCCCTTGGTGCCATGGAGAGATAAGGGACACCCCATGGTAGCAGAGAAACAAGGTGGAAAGCCGATAGAAGAAATCTAGTCTCAGACGACCTTGTGCCTGACGACCACCATACAAAGATGGCGTTGGAGGTGTAACTTGAGGAGCCAGCTTTTGTGTCAGGGGAGTGTAACAAGGCTGCACGAGGGGCTTCCTAGGGACAGGTGTCGTGTGGAGCCTTTCCCCTGTGCTGTGCTCCTCTTGGCTTAGAGCAATAAACCCGCCTGATACTAAATCTCAGAGGGTGCTTGTGTTAGTCTGTAACTTTAAAAACAACAAGGGGTCCTCTGGCGCCGTAGAGACTGAATTCTAATTTATTCACAGTACAGAATAGTTAATGAGAAACAGAGACCCTGTTCCTAGCTCCTGTCCACCAGCCCCCCCTCCCCTGCAATTCACTGTGATTATATATTGGACAGCAGCCCAGATCCACCCCCCATGCTCTGGGTGTCTGCCTGGGAAACCAACCAGCAGAACTCTCCTGGTCTAGCAAACCTCCCCCAGGATAACTCTCTGTGGGGACACTCTCACTCCAGTGCATGACGGGCTCTGTGCACTTTTACCTCCTGGTGAAAATGGTGTGAATGAACCCTGACCCAGACTCTCCAGTTCTGGAATGAGGGCGTCCCCAGGGGGAGTTATCCCCCCATAACTGCAGTGAATATTTAGAGTGTCGTTCCGCTGATCAGTGTCCTTGTGCAGACAAACTGGCAGGGAGAGACAGTCCCCAGCCAGAAGAGTTCACACAGGGAGAACTTTCAAGAGCGCCTGAGGGACTTAGGAGCACCAGGCAGCGGGCACAGAGCACAGTCCCACCCTTGAGCTCCTCAGTCTCTCAGGGGATTTAGAACTGGTCAGATCTGGCAGGTGCAGTTACTAGGGAAGAGGGAAGAGTGGAGCCAATCCCTGCTTAGCTGGAGCTGCCTCCTCCCCG